CCCCAGACAGTCCGCGAGCACTTGGGAAGAGATCCTAAGGTGATTGTGGATGGTCAGCCCAGTTCTTTAGCAGGGTGGGATTTAGAATGCAGATTCTCACCCTAATGAGACCCAGACACTCAGACTCATGGGACACAGAGACACTCAGACTTTGGGGTACAGAGACTCAAATACTCAAACTAATGAGGTATAGAGATTTAGACACTGAGACAAAGCAGAGACCCAGACACTCAAAGTAATGTGGTACAACCCTCAGATCATCAGAATAATGCCAGACTGACCCCTGACACTGAGATGGTGGGCCCTCAGGGTACTGGTGTGTAGGGACTCAGACTATCAGGGTCCAGGGTTCCAGGATGAATGGGGTGGGGGCTCCAGTCTGCAGGGACAGAGTGGGCACAGAGGCAGCATCTGACATATGGGCCGCGCGAACTGGGCCCGGGCCCAGCACAGGAATGAACCGCACCTAGAGAGCGGAGACAAGGATGAATGGGACGCTCACAGCAGTGAGATGGGCAGAGCACAGGCATCCAAACCGCAGGAACGAGGCACCAGCCCCCGGGTTGGGCCTGGCACACAAGCCTCAGTGTGGAGTGTCAATGGGGGATTCAGAGGGCCAGCAAATGGGGTACAGGCTGTCCAGACACCTTGAAGACAGTAGAACAGGTCAACAAATTTGGGTGCGTGCTAGTGAGGGAAGGCTGCTCAGGCGTTCAGGTGGTCAGGGTGCAGCCCAGGTATTCTCAGGAGTGGGGTAAAGACGCTGAGGCCAGGGGTGCCCCGATGCACAGAGACACTGAGACAAGGTGGGTGGGGCCCTTGCAAAGCTGGAGAGTAATGAGGCTTGCCCCTGGAGTTCCCAAGGCCCTTGGGAGATGTAATCAGTGGGGGTGGTGTCACAGAGAACCCTGTCTTCTGTCATGGGGAGCCTGCAGCACTAGCCAGTCACTGGGTGAGTTACACATTAGCAATGATGCTTGTGCCCCCGGATTTCCAGGTGAGTGGGGTAGCCACCCAGACACTCTGAGGAGTGGAGTTTGCAACCCCGAAAAACCAGACACAGATTCTCAGAAAGAGCTAGCACCACTCAGTGATGCTATATTGGGGAGTGGGCTGCAGGTCCTGAAATTCCAGCGATGAGATGCAACCACCCCAGATGTTTGGATGGTGGAGTACAAAATGTACAGATGTGTAGGAACGGGTACGGTTCCCCTGGATGCTCAGGCAATGGGGTCTGTTACAGGGCTCAGTCTCCAGACACTCAGATGAAGTGGTACGGCCTCCTGAAATGCTTAGATAATAGGATACAGCTCCTCAAGATGCTTAGGTGATGGGGTCCAGCCTCCCCAAATACTAAGGCAATGGGGGTAGCCTCCACAGATGCTCAGGTAACAGTTTGCAGCCTCCCTGGATGCTTCGGTGAGGGGGGACAGGTTTGTCCAGATTCTTGAATGTCGGGGTGCATACTCCCCACACAAAGAGGGCATTGGCAGTCTGAATAAAGATGGGTGGAGCATGTACAGGCTAAGACAGTGACAGGGCACAGCCTACCCCAACAGAGGACCGTGGCAAACTGAACACTCACCCTCAGCCATCCTGGGGCCAGCTAAATGGGGTGCCCTAGCTGAAGGGGCACCCCGGCCAGATGGGGTGCAGCTGCTGGGGTCAGCCAGGGCAGAGAGTCCACGTGGTGATCCAGCACGTCTCTCACTCCCGTGCCAGCAGCTCACGGCTCCCCACAGCCAGCGTCTGCCATGTGTTTCAACCTCAAACATTCCCCAGGCGACCTCAGAGGAAGCACCCCCGGCCAGGAGCCCCGCCAGGGTCTCTCTGGGGCTGTTGGCTGCCAAGCCGCCGAGTCAGGGGCCGCGGGGCTGGCCGCGTAGAGACCCAGACACTCAAAGTAATGTGGTACAACCCTCAGATCATCAGAATAATGCCAGACTGACCCCTGACACTGAGATGGTGGGCCCTCAGGGTACTGGTGTGTAGGGACTCAGACTATCAGGGTCCAGGGTTCCAGGATGAATGGGGTGGGGGCTCCAGTCTGCAGGGACAGAGTGGGCACAGAGGCAGCATCTGACATATGGGCCGCGCGAACTGGGCCCGGGCCCAGCACAGGAATGAACCGCACCTAGAGAGCGGAGACAAGGATGAATGGGACGCTCACAGCAGTGAGATGGGCAGAGCACAGGCATCCAAACCGCAGGAACGAGGCACCAGCCCCCGGGTTGGGCCTGGCACACAAGCCTCAGTGTGGAGTGTCAATGGGGGATTCAGAGGGCCAGCAAATGGGGTACAGGCTGTCCAGACACCTTGAAGACAGTAGAACAGGTCAACAAATTTGGGTGCGTGCTAGTGAGGGAAGGCTGCTCAGGCGTTCAGGTGGTCAGGGTGCAGCCCAGGTATTCTCAGGAGTGGGGTAAAGACGCTGAGGCCAGGGGTGCCCCGATGCACAGAGACACTGAGACAAGGTGGGTGGGGCCCTTGCAAAGCTGGAGAGTAATGAGGCTTGCCCCTGGAGTTCCCAAGGCCCTTGGGAGATGTAATCAGTGGGGGTGGTGTCACAGAGAACCCTGTCTTCTGTCATGGGGAGCCTGCAGCACTAGCCAGTCACTGGGTGAGTTACACATTAGCAATGATGCTTGTGCCCCCGGATTTCCAGGTGAGTGGGGTAGCCACCCAGACACTCTGAGGAGTGGAGTTTGCAACCCCGAAAAACCAGACACAGATTCTCAGAAAGAGCTAGCACCACTCAGTGATGCTATATTGGGGAGTGGGCTGCAGGTCCTGAAATTCCAGCGATGAGATGCAACCACCCCAGATGTTTGGATGGTGGAGTACAAAATGTACAGATGTGTAGGAACGGGTACGGTTCCCCTGGATGCTCAGGCAATGGGGTCTGTTACAGGGCTCAGTCTCCAGACACTCAGATGAAGTGGTACGGCCTCCTGAAATGCTTAGATAATAGGATACAGCTCCTCAAGATGCTTAGGTGATGGGGTCCAGCCTCCCCAAATACTAAGGCAATGGGGGTAGCCTCCACAGATGCTCAGGTAACAGTTTGCAGCCTCCCTGGATGCTTCGGTGAGGGGGGACAGGTTTGGCCAGATTCTTGAATGTCCGGGGGCATACTCC